ATATTGAATAATATTATTATTATCCTGTTGTTGTGTTTGTTCTTGTGTGTAAATAGATTTAGCTATTCATATTTATACATGATGCACTAACACACACATAATGTATTTAGAACTGTATGCATAACACACGTATATGGAACGTGTTCTAAAGTTTTTGCTGCATGTATATTAGTAAAATGAACCAATTGGAGAATGGCACTTAGAGAGAACACAATACAATTGCATTGTGTCTTCTATGACACTTATAACTTGATATAAATTCACTTCTGTCAGACTTTTGTTTTAAGGTTCATTGTCAAGTCTGCACAACCAGTGGGTTTGGGATAGTTTTTTCCACCCTTTCCTTACATATATATTTTTGTTTTTTGTTTTATTGAAATAGAGGAAATCAAGTCTGACACCCCAACAAGCAATTGGTTAACTGCAAAGAGTGGCAGGAAGAAGAGGTGCCCGTACACTAAACACCAGACATTGGAGTTAGAGAAAGAATTCTTGTTTAATATGTATCTGACTCGAGAGCGCCGCCTAGAGATCAGTAAGAGCGTCAATCTCACTGACAGGCAGGTCAAGATCTGGTTTCAAAATCGCAGAATGAAGCTAAAGAAGATGAGCAGAGAAAATCGAATTCGTGAACTGACCGCTAATTTGACTTTTTCTTAAAGCCCACCAAACTATGTTCAACGTTTGCCACAGCATCAGCCATTGTACAGAAGCAGGAGAGACTATTCAAACCATGTCACACCTTTTCCTGTGATCTAGAATGTGATTCTCGTCATTTTTTAGTGCTGCAAGTGTCTATATGTACTTCCATGAGTATATAAATAATAATAAAAGATCTAGCACATGTAATTTATTTTTTTTCACCGTATGGCAGGGTACAATGAAGAAAGTTTATCATGTCGTCTTAAATTATTGGGACTGTTCAAGATATCCAAGCAATGTGACTTTTTCATGTTTTTTTCTAAAATGCTTTTTTCTGTATGTTACTTTATGGACCTTGGCAGTTTAACCTTCATGAATATTCTTATTGACTTTCGGGGGAAGAAAAAGCACATTTTCTGTAAATGTCTGCTCCAAAAAAGTGCGAAATAGCTGCGAATATGTTTGTAAATGTGTAGTTGATTTGACTCGTAATCCTTGTAGACGTCTCCTTGTGATATGTGGTAATATCAATGAGACAGCTATGTGTCCATACCGTGCATGTTCTCTGCATGTCTTATGCAATAAACTGTCTGAACGCTTGAGGTTTTCATCTTATTATTAGGGATACAGCGATGTCATTACCTCCAGCCTTATGTATTTCCACCATATAGCTATATAATAATTACATGTATCCTCTCAGATTTTAACTTGTCAGCATAAATGAGTATACATTCAGGAGCCATTCAGTAATGATGTTTCTAAAGATCAGCATCACCTTTATTGTTCCGGTAAGTGGCCATGTTGTGCTTCTACAGCTATATTTAGTGAGAATATAGCGGTATAATGAAGATACATAGTAGCAAAATGCATCACAATTGCGAGACTGTGTCCATGTTGCTTGCATTTGGATATGTGAGCAAATATTTGTATGTGTTCATATACAAGCGATGTGGATAATTACACATGTACAGGTATGTGTGATTTACTAAAGAGTTAATGCTATACAGCATCCTTAATAACCTGTTGGACTGGAAGATTCAATCGGGGGAAAAAAGAGTAATATTAAAAATAAAAAGATGCCTCAAATGTGCAGGTACAATGGACTGGGGGGAAAACTTGATCAACTTAGTAATAATTATATATATTTAGGGAGCGAGAGAGAGCGATAGGGGAGGGAAGAGACAGAAAATGTTTTTCTAAGTGTTTTTTTTTTGCTCTCTGATTTGTCTTCTTTCTTTTCTCTGCATACACAGACAACGTGTCACGATTCCTCGATTCAAGTTCATAAGTGCATCATGGGGCCAGCCCTACTGGGCTACAAATAACGGTACACAAAGAGGAAATCAAGTCGTATTCTTATATTTTCGTTTACGTGTTAGTTTTGCTTATAATGTTTGCAGCAGTTCTTAGGTGACTAAAAAGTGCATTCTTTCTTCTTCATAATCTGCCAGTGGGATTGAGGAGAATATGAACCTTCACAGACTTTAGAGAGAGACTGATAACAGGAATATCCCTCTCTCTGGTCAAAGTTGTGGACTTTGATGAGCGACCATTAAAATAACGAGGCCTGCAGAGAGTGCGATAGAAACTTAGTTTAGTGCAACTAGCATGAGTGTAACTTCAGTACTTCAGTTGCAGCCCAATCCCATTAAAATTATAATTTGGGTTTGTTTAAATGTGCCTTCTTGTACCCTTCAAACACACACTTACCTGTAAACATCCTTGTTAACATTGTTTCCATATTTTTCATACGCCTTGCATCAGGCTTCTGTTGAGAACATTGTCCTTGTTGATGCATGGATGGGATCAGGAAACAGTAGCACAAACCGGTACATTGTAATCAAGGCTGATGATGCTTTTGTGAGGTCTTTCCACTATCTGGACTATAGCTAAACTGAGGGTGCTGTCCTTTGTGGTATTTTGTTGTAAGTTGTATTTCCCTTACAGAAGATATGCTGGTTTATAACAGAAGAGCATAGAGTTTCTCTAGCTTTAGATAATCTCCGTTTTATTTCAGGAAACAGCCCCAATAAACGTGGTCTCTTCCTGCAAATGATCACAGCCTCACTTAACAACGCTGAGCTGAAAAATTATTTATTGCTGGCCAACTGGGGTATAGTCAGTAAGTTCTGTCTTACTCCAGGTTAACTAAAGTCTATAGAAGACACAACATTTTTTGATTTACCACATTTATCACATCGTTAAAACATAAGCAATATTTAATATTTTAATTACTTAGATATATATATATATGTAAATGAATGCATGTCCAAACTCTGCCTTTTTTATTGCAAATATCTGTGTTCTTGTATATCTAGGGGTACTTAAATGTACTAAGTTATTTGCCTGTGCTGTTCTATTGATCCCTCTGACGTTTCGTATCCAAAATGTACTATAGTGTTTAAAAATTGTATATTTATCATTTCCTATAATCCGGGTACATTCAGATGTTAATGTTAGTAAAACAGTCATTTGCAAACAGTTACTATCAAACAGTTACTAAACATGCACATCAAGTCTGTATGTTTATATATATA